TTAGAAACGCAGGTTTTGCTTCAGTAATTTTTCTACTGGAAATGTAATAATAGCTCGACTGCTCTTGAGACGTTAACTGGTCTGTCCTGAAATTTAGTCTACTGTCAAAATCTCTCTTGCCTTTTAAAATTTAACAGACGTTTCAGAATTCACGGTCTGTGGTAGTTAAATGAAAACAAGCTGAGATTATTTTTCATTACACAAAGGAGTTAGAAATGTCAGACTGTACGTTTTAGTATCTGATAAAAAGACATGACAAATTAATATACTTGCTATCCTGATTAAGACATGGCTTGATTTTTCTCCATTAACTTTACAGCTTGCTTGGGGGGAGTAGGGCGCTTGCTTTTCCTCCTTGAAACTTACGATTGCAGTTTGTAACTCTTATATATGTGTGCTGTATAGCTCTGGATAGGGAGGAACAACTGATAAGACTTATTTAGTCTTCTACGTGACCAAAACTCAGCTTAGAATTTGAGTATTCACAGTTTGAGAGGCCCATCAGCTTGTTCCTTGTCCAAGTAATTTCTATTGATACCTCTAATGTAAGTGTTTCTAAGTGACTGGAAATTGAAAAAGTTTTCTACCTGTTTTTTGTATTGAAGATCTCATGTGAAACGTGTTGGCCTGATAACCCCATTTTCAACAGTAGCGCAACTCTATTATAGGCAAACCCGTTGTCATCCTTGCAATTTAATAGTCTTCCATAGGTGGAAGGAATTTGATACCTACTACTCGCTCTTTTGATACCCTTTGTAGGGATACCAGTTTAAAGTAATTTGAGGATGTCCAGGTGGAACTAATAACATGGGTGCTAAGTTGGTAGTAATAACTCCTATTCTCACCTGGTGTTATTTGCAGTTTAATTCCTCTATTCTTTTCTGCTCAGAAAGAGCTGAATTGTTCATAGTGTGTTTAGAAATACCTGAATGAAAAAAATATTTCAGAAGGATTTTTTTTTCTGTTGTAAGTGATCTAAATAAAAATATTGATCTTTGCATGCCCTCACCAGGCTTATAGTCAGTGCTGTGGTGTGATGCTGAAATCCACCTGACGTTTGTTTTTGAAGTAATTGTAGAGTATATATTTTGTTGGTTTTTTTTCTAGCTGACAGAGAATACGTAGTTACTGGGTTTTTCTTTTATTGCAGACCAAAATGAAGAGGAAGGCTGTGGGTATCTGGCATTGTGGATCCTGCATGAAGACAGTTGCTGGTGGTGCCTGGACTTACAAGTAAGGGAGTGTGGCAGCCTCTTTGTTTTCACGCAGCTGATATTTATTTACTTATTTCCTTAATGCACTAGCTATTAAGGAGATCTCTCTGTCTGAGTTAGTGACCTATGTGGGGTTTTTTTCTCCTGCGTTGTTAAAATTTGTTTGGAATTTTAAGTACTTGACATTTTTGCCAGTATCGATTGTCCACCTTCTGTGAAATTGCATTTCATATTTCTGGTTTTCGTGGGTCCCTCCAAAGTACTGTTGCCTCTCAGGGCCTTATCGGAGCAGTTAGTTTACTTAAAATGCAAGTTCCAGATCTTCTCCAGAACTTCAACTAAAGATATCCAAGCATCTGCAAATGGTGAAACAAATGTTAATACCTAAGCAGTCTCTCTTATGCCTTGATCATAGTAGCATTTTTTTACTGGAGAATTGACAGCTTTCACTTCTACAAGGTAGTATGCTTGAGCTGTTTTTTTGGTGACGCTGGAAGAGAAGGAGCAGAAAGGATGGCTGGCCTGTCCAGCCATCTCGGGGCATAACGAGCTAGATAGATGTCATCACACACCTATGCAGCCTATTCTTAAAGAGTTCTGACAGCTTCTAAGAAATTAAGCCTCTTAACCTGGTGTTTATTTTTCCTTCTGATTCTTTTGGCTGCATATAAGTTTTATTTTATTTTCTTTCTGTTAAAACCATTGAATCACTAACTTTGTGAGGATACCTTTGCTTATTCCCTTTCTTTACTCTCCCTCCCCTCAAATCTAGTTTTTTAAAAAAAAAAAAATCCACTTATTATGGGCTAATGCCCATACATAGTGTCCTCATAAGAAAGAAGTGAAATGGATAGACTGGAACTGGTTTTATTTCATGTGGAATTTGGACATCAAGCTTTATAGGTGATTGGGGTTGTATATTCCTCTTTAAAGTAGCTGCAGTATTAAGTCCGTATGCACCTTTTGAGTGTGTATTTCAGTACCACAGATTTTTGAATTTCTTGTCTGTTTTCACTGGTTGAAATGCCTTCCTGTGGCTAGGGATTGGAGCCCACGTCCCTGTGCGTTCAGTCAATGCACGATGCCATTACTTGGGTTCACATGTACTTTGTAAAATTGTGTGTGCTTCCTTAGACATGGGCCTACGCTTTGTCATGACAATCAAAGTGGAATTAGCGCATTGTTGACAATGCAATCGACCAATAACTATTTGAAAGGAATAGTGTTGTTTTGTCTTAAAAAAACAAAGCTGGGGTGAGATGTACTTCTACTGCAGCGTGCAACTGACTCTGCTTCTTCTTTCAGTACCACCTCTGCAGTGACAGTCAAATCTGCGATCAGAAGACTGAAAGAATTAAAAGACCAGTAGAAGCTACATCCTATTCTCCTTGTGAAATGTGTTTTTTTCACCACTCTCAAGATCTGTCCTTTTACCAATAAAAAGGTGATACGGATTGGAATTGTGTTCATCTTTCTGCACAAAGACCTCTCTCTCTGGCTGCACTGTATTTATAGGTATAATTATAGAGGCATTGATAGTTTTTTAGCTGATGGTTGAGTAGCTCTTGTTATGGGTTAAGCTGTTAACAGACACTTTTTTCCTTTTCAGTTAATTATGTCCTCTGGTTCTGTTGCCCAAATGTGCAACAAGGTGAATCTGAGGAAAACTTAAATATCTTTGAAGACGCCTGGCATGCCTTGATATATCCTTCATCTCTGTGCCTTGAGGGACAGTAGAGCAAATACGAGTGGCGGAATGGACAGATGTGAGAGGAGGAAATATATCTGCCTCTTCCTATTTATCTTTTGGGGTCAGGGTATGTGCTACAAGATGGAGAAAAAAAGGACACCATGACTGGCTTTAAGATGGAGACTGAAATGATTCAAGAGCAGCTATCTTCATCCATTGCTCCTTTGCTGTTACTGCTTCCCCACTCTGTATGACCTGCTCTTTCTCATTCCTCATAGCAGGCCCCCATGTCTGCATGTTCAGGTTCCCTAATCCATATTGAACTGAAACAGTAAAAGTTTCATGTAGAAGCAACTACTGGGATGCTCAATCTTGAGTTAATAACTCTGGAAATCATCTCTTTAGACTTAAGAGACTGAAACTTTTTTTTTTTTTTTAACAGTCTACTTGTCAGGTAGGTTTGGATTTGGTGTGAGATTATGGGTTTGTTTTGTCTGGGTTTTTTGATGACTGCAGCACCTTTTCTGTCCTTAGCAGCACAGGTCAGAAAGTACAGGTCTTGATAATAACCTTTGATAGCTTCTGGAGGAAAAACAGTAAGCAGATAACATAATGGCTGCTAACTCTTGGCTCCGACTTTGCCTTTGAATGGATTTAGGATGGTGATGAGCTACAGCAAGAGTGTCATTAATGAGCCTAGCATCTTTGAAAGATGTACTCAGAACATATTTCGGAATAGAAAACTACTCCCGAAGCTGGAAAAAGCCTGTCTGCGGCTCAGGAGTTTAACTTAAGTGTCCCTGAACTTGTTTACCAAACATTTTTTGATTCAGTGCTGCAAAGCTTTTTTTTTTTTTTTTAATAAAGTAAAATTTCTTATTCATGTGTCCAATGTCATTCATAACAAGCTGTATATGCTTTGCACTACCTCCCAAAGGCAGGGGCTGGTGCTTCGGTGACTTCCATCTCCAGTTTCCTCTTAGGAGCCAAGGTATCAAGTGGATGGAGGGAGGAGCATGTGGCAGGGGCAGCACACGTACAGCTTTCAACATCTGTTAGTTGTGTTTTCCAGGAGGTTTTTAGAGATACTATTCTAATATTTGAAACTTTTCTGAACTGTAAGAAAAAAACCATAAAGTTTATATCAGTGTGTGAAGGGGAAAACTGAATTGTAAAAAAAAACTAGAAGAGGGAAATGATAAGTCTTATGCTTGACTGGTGGGTTTGGAGCAGGAGGCTGGCCAGAGCGCTCTGGAGTGTGAGGCTGGAAGGAGGGTGGGTGGTGAGGTGTACTGGGGGGCAGTAGCGGGTTCTCAGCTGCCCTCTCCAAGGCAGGTCTTCCCTGTCCCTGCTGGGCCATCCCCAGAAGAGATGACCCTGTGTACAAGGGTAGGGGTTCCCCCATGAGGAGCTGATGTACATCCTGGCTGAGAGAGCACTCTGCACGCTGCTCAACGATGACCCACTTCATTTCTGCCTGTAGTGCAGGGTGATAGTATTGTGTGGCAGGTTTGAAATGGAGGTGGCAATGGATGACTCCCCTTAGAAGTATTTTCATATATGTGAATGAACGTACCAACGCGAATGAACACCATCATGGCAGTCTGCTTTCAGACAGGAAATGGTCCACCATTGTGTCCTTTTAGCAGGGTTACTGAAGAAACCTGTAGTTTTAAGAAACTTGTTAACTGAAGTCTGTCTCTGCTGCTGTTTTTATTACACAGCATCCCTGCAGCAGCTTCGTCGAGGTGCTTGTCCAACCTTCTGGTTTAGTCAGACCAGCTGCCCTCAGCGCTGCTGTTGCTAGTCCTGGTTTGCGTTGACCACAATACAAATGCGTGGCTCTTGGTGTTGCCTCCAAACTATCCTGAAACTTCCTCTTATCTGAAAAGAAAGTTCTGCTCTCTTGGAAGTGACTTGTGCACTGCTGTATGGATAGCTGGAACAGCTAAAGCAGATGGCCTTTTTCCTGTTGGCCTCTCCTACTGCGGAGAGGATGAATGGTGTGTGAGGCTGCCACAGTCTTAGCACTACTATAAGGGGATCTTGGCTGTCTGAATAACACCTGCTGAGCTGCCTCAGAGAGTTTAAGAGACACTGCCCCTGACTTTGGGTTACCTATGTAATAAAGGGTTATGAAGTGCTGTGATCTGGGAGCTGCTTTGCAAGTAGCTGAACCATCCTTTAGGGGGACCCCTGAGAGAGAAGGGTTGGGGAGTTGATGTAGAAGCCTTATGAGGAGTGATGCTAGCGCTCAGATCTGTAGGCTCTGGATGCCAGGAAACCGCTTTGTGTCCTACTTGGACCCCAGGAAAGGGGTGGAGTGGAGATAACCAGTTGCCAGCTCACCTGGAGATGAGTGAGCTCAGGGGATTTTGGCCACATGTCTGTGCATCATATTGAGTGCTGTCCAGAAAGTTTCTGAGCAAGGTCAACATTTGCTAGAAACACAAATGAAAATAAAGGCAACTCTTCTTACACGAAGGGAGTTTGATTGAAATGTGAGCTCTTTTGTGCTCATGTGCACTGCTGATCTTTTTTTGTGCTGGTCAGCCTTAAGTGCTGCCAGTGAAATAGGGTACAAGATAGAGGGGGTAGGAGAGATGAAAGATGCTGCGGTTAGAGCAGTGTGTGCGCTGGCAATGCTGCAAGCAGCCAGTGGGCGACGCTGCTGCTCTGTTAGTCAGGGTCGCAAGGCTGTTTTTCGTCTGTTCTTCCCTTTCCCATCTCTGCTCACCTGTACACCTACTGCTTAGCTTCTTGGCTCAATATATCACGATTTTCTCTCTTCCCCTTGCCCCGCCCAACAGAACATGACAGTACTTTTACACTGGAACAGGGGTCTGTACCAAAAGAGATCAGGAGATAGGAAAGGGGAGGCTGGGGCTGGGGGGTTTTGTGATCACCTCTTAAGAGTTGTAGTTGTCTTTTCTTCAGTTAAAACCCTGTGTTTACCCTGGGAGATTCTGATGTATCAACTGCATGATTTGGCCAGGTGATCATCAAAAATTTGTTGTTTCCTTTGGAAAACACAAATTGTCAGCAACTTTACTTACTGCTTTCTAAATACTTGTAGTTGTGTCTGAGCCTTAGTCAGGAACTTGAACGAAGTCATGTTAGGTGCTGTACAAGGATGGAACAAAGTGCTGGCACCTGTCTTGAAGGGTTTGAGCTTAAGGTAGCGTCTTATCCATCTGGACTGCTACAGCTTTGGGAATTGGAGGAGGATTTGATGGAAAGGGAGACTTTGAATCTGACTGATTGTTCTGTAGATGTGGCTGAACAGGTCGGACCTCAGTTGCTTTTGAAGAGCAGATGGGAAGAGGACAGCTTTTTCAGAGCAATCTGTCCATCTCACAAGGTTTTTTGCAGTATCAAGGAGAAGACCAAGGAAGATGATGGCTATTATCAAAGTGACAGCCAGATGCTTTGGCAGTCCAATGGCCCTTGGAAACCAAAGATGGAAACACCTCAGGGCAGCTATCCTCATTCTGATTTCCATCAGTTAAGCATTTATCTGCTTCTGAAAGGAAAAAGAAATGCCTGAGCTTTTCCCTGTTTGAGCTTCCTGCTCACTAACAGCCTCTTTCGTCTGTAGGGAATCTCAAATGACCTATAGCGAGTCAAAGTACGAAGCCTTGCAGGGAGCACCATTTTTATTTGTGTTATGCTTCGTGCAAAGTCTGTTGGTCCCTAGGGCTCATTGGGCTGTGAAACCTCAGCCACAGGTGTTGGTTGTCCCTTGTGTCCGTCATGATGTGAGGATGGTGCAAACTCAGGCAGTGTTCAAGGACCTTCTTTTGGCTTTGTGTTTTACTTGGGGTGTTTACCATAAGGGAGCCTGACAGTCATAAGTGATGGGCGCCATGTTCCTAGGAGGAGATCCTCATGCAATTTCTAACTTTAATGAACAGCAAACGTCTCATAGTCTTACCACTTAGTTGGCTGCCTTCATCCTTGTCTAGGATCCAGGGCCACCAGTTGCCTTCCTGAGCTCCTTCTTGCCTCTTCCCCTATGCCGCATCCCAGGGAGGTTTGCAGCGGCACTTCAAAAACAAGAGTGACCAATGCAGGTGAATTATTTTCCTTGGGCAGATATACTCTGTCCTGGAAACATTTTCTAGATCTCTTCTTAGGGAGAAAGGAGCTTTGGGGCTGCACTTAGTTGGTGGCTCTGCAGTTCAGAGTGTTGGCCAGTGGGAAAGTCAACCGGGGCTGCAGAGTGATGTGAGGGCCAGTTTAATGGGCTACAACCCACTGTGAAATTTCATGTGCCTCTAGCTGCTGCTCAACTCACCTGAATGTTCACCAGCTCCCTCCAGGAACGTTGTCCTGGTGAATGGGTAAACAGCCTCACAGAGCTGATGGTACAGCTCCCACTAAAGTGGGGAAGCTGGCACATCTCTGTGCTTCCCAGCTCTGCAGTATGGCTCATGGCTTTGTTTAGAGAAATGATTCCTCAAAGGATATTAGAAAGTGACGCGTGGTGGTGGGAGACTGTATATTTCCAGTGGCTCATGGGGAGATGGCCCATGAAACATGCTTGAAATTGGCCCCAGGACTTTGAAAATGGGCAGTTGCCATCAGTAACGTATTCTTCCTCTGTGTATTTGATCCCTAATGGATGTCTTTTGAGGCATGGAGGGTGCCAGAGTTGTGGATATGCCTCAGGTGCCCTTATTAGATGCCTGGTTGCATTTTGAAAATGGCTGCTTAGAAAATGTCTAATTGCTATTCCACATATTCAAAGTGTTGTGTTTTTTGCTTTTT